GACTCGGCTAACATTGGCTCGCTTCGGCTTCGCTCGGCGCATCACGGCTGGCAGAGGGTGGGGGGGGAGAGGGGCGTCATTCAGAGCTCAACATGTCACAATATATATATATATACACACACACACACACACACACACAATATAAAATACTCCAATTTGTCCGTGGTAACACAACAAAATCACAAAATCCAACAACTGACTCGATGATGTAAAACATCACTCGAAGAATTTTATTGTTTGATATTATAACTTTCGTTTTATATAATCTAATTTATTGTAATTTTATGCCAAGTATTTAATCTGGTTTTAATAAAGAAACTGTATATTATAACACAACAGGATGCATGAAATGAAATTTATCCTTGCTTATAAAATCTAAGGAAAGAAGTATATATATGCTATCCAGAATGTATGGGTAAGGGAGTCAGCTCATTACATGAGAAAAACTGTTAACAGAAACCAAATACAGTACAGTCTAGTAAACAAGAATATACAATATTAAACATACGATGGAAAAGCATATTATGCACACTATAACTTACTTGAAGTTTTCTTTCATAGAAATGGTCAAGTTTCTTTAAAATTTCTGCCAGCTCAATGATTTACCTAATGAGAGCCATAAATGACCAAAAGTAAAAAGAAAAGCATAAATTTATATTTCAAAGTTGTGAGATTTGGGGTATTCATGGTGGTAACTACGAATAGTGCCAATTTCTAGGATGTGAATGCAGTATGCTCCTCTGAAAAACAGATTACCTTCTACTGACTAATGTTGCATTACATCTGAGAATAACACATGGCAGGATTCCCTGAATTACGAGAAACTACCAGTCAACTGCCATTACAAATTTCTTAATTTATTTGAATATATTCTGCCATCGTGGTATGGCATGAAGGGATATGTGACCAGTGTCTTCATACCTGACAAAACGTACAACTTTTGCAAGAAAGAATTTGTTGGTTACCAACCGAAAATCAGGTGGTGGTTTCTGCATGTCGACTGTTGTCACTTTAAGGCTGATGGTTTTCAGTTCAGCCAGCAGATACAGGTCCATGAAATACTCCTGGCAAAAAAGGCATGCTCCTTTCCTGCGCCCATCAATTGTGGAAGCCTGCAACATATAATCAAAAAAAATTTGTTAGCCATATAATTCAATATAATTAAAGACATAGGATGGGGTACAACTTAACTAACGGTGGAAGTATGAATGTCCCCTTCTCATTCAAGTTCAAAAGCAATGAGGACAAGTGTATTGATTGCTTTTGTAATTTTTCAGTTTCTCAATATAAAAGTCAATACCAGTGCTTCATTATAAAACAGCAATCACTAAGAAATAAATTAAGTTCAATGCACTGAGTTTTCTTGAAAAGTTGATAAGTTACTCAACTGGTCAAGAAATTCCCTACTTTTATGGAACTGCAGGTTCTTTACTGTATTGTATTTGAGGTTCTCACAGTGATGAATACAAAGGGTACCATCTTCTGGGGTGTGATGCTATGAAATCCAGTAGTTCACCCACCATTTAAGAGGACTGTACGACCTCTGTCTCCAGGGTCAAAGAGTAAGCAAACTGGTTTTGCTTTTTGATGACTAGTTGCACACCTGGTTCACATATCAACCGAGATGATGGAAATAGTACATTCCTCCAAAATGTGGATGAACTTCTACCAGACTATACAGTGTCACATCTTCAAGACAGCACTCTTTGTTCAATACCATGTTCATAACAACTCACCCTTAGATCCTATCTGGGATCAAATCAACCTAATGATGACTGTCATCTTGGAAGTGACCCCAAGTAGTCAAATACAGAGATATCAGTGTTTTAGAGAATACTGTTGTCTCCATCTTCAGGATAGAAGAATTTGATATCTACAAGTTTCTCCAAAATAGTGCTAACTTTCTACCAGGATATGTGGTGTCAATTTCAGAAGACAGAGCGATCTTCATATTCACCTTCCAACTTCAAATCTCACACCAAGGAAAGGTAATTACAGCATAAGGTAACTACATTTTCAAAGGGCAATCCTTCTGCAGAGAATCAAACCAGATATCTCCCAAGAAGACCATGGTATGAATTCCTGCAGGGGAATCCAGCATCCAGAGTAGCTATGCAGCCCAACGAGCCACATATCCAATGGATATCTGAGGTTCTGTACCCAGGGATAAACAAGCATCGGCATGAAGCCAATCACTCATCTCAATCTAGTTCCAAGGTCAAGAATGGTGGAGTTTACCTCCACTCTTCCATCTGCCTTCACTGAGCTCACATAATTAACTAAAGGAATAACTTGAACATTTTTACCTTTATAAATATCTTAAATAATTCTGAGTAAATGAGAAGTATAGTTATGGTACTGCTGAGATCCAAAAACTGTGAACACAAGTTACCTCCCGCCATCCCACACTCCTCAGCATGCACAAAGGCGCTGTGGTCACCAGCGTTATAACAATTCTACTCCAACTTTAACTGCTGTAATGTGACATAATTTCACACTTTGGCAGCTCCTTCTTCATCTGTCCTTTGTTCCTCAAGCATGACTATCCTTCACACGACATGTACCACTAAAATACATTTCCACTGCAACTGTCCATGCATTTGCTAAATTATATCATTTTTACACACCTCTGCATAAAATTCAAGACACAAAATTACATCAACCTGATCCGTACTCATTACACATACTGATGTTTACATACCCAACTGGACATGAACTAACACTTTACACAAAGGCCACACTGAGATTTGAGCAAACACTAAAGCTGCCCACATGACTATGCATCATGCGATCAAGGTCCAGACTGGGGGTATGGGGAAAAACATCCACACATTCTGAGTATCAGTACTACAGTAGATAGTGTGTGGCCACATACCCACATTTAATCCCTGAGAAAGGCGTTTTGGCACTCAATGGCTACGAAATTCATGTGTGATTGATACGTATCGCTATTTAAACATTTTGTATGTCTTTGTCATGTAATGTACTGTTTTATGAACACTTTCTCATATTGTACAGCATAAAATGATGGGAAGGTTAGCTAATAACAATTCTTACAGATGAGAAAGGAGGCAGAGCTCCACTTGCTGCCTGCCTCATGTTGGCTTCCTGTATGGCTTGCTCTTCAACCCTGAACATGGAGTTAACACAACCTTCCAAAATGTCGGTTGCCTTTTAACGTGCTACATGGTGTTATAGCCTAGAAGATAGAACTATTCTCTTCGTGCAGCTGTCTCCATATTGCTGTTACTTCTACTTTCTGAGGTCTGTGACTGGAATCTGTTCTCATCCCAACGAATACAACATGGATAGCATGCTTGATGGTACACAACATTATTATTGTTGTTGTTGTTGTTGTTCTTACCATCATCACCATCATTATTACTACTCATTCTCATACAATTCCTCTTCTTCTTGTGTCGCTATATTTACCCACTAAGGCATCCCTACACCCTCAGGTCACCTAATAAACACGGCAGATTTAATGATCACCAAGATAATCTACAAGCTACCCATGGCAAGCATCACAGTTGTTCTAGTTCAGCACTGAATCTTCTCCTTGGAAAGACTCTCATGTTCAAACACTTCTAATATACTTATGTGTATTCCCCTCAGCTCTATTCATGCATGCAATGGCCGAAAATGGTTCAAAAGTAAATATACATAGGCCCACATATGGTATCTTCATGATACCTTTTACAGACATACTCGCTCATAACTATGTATGAAGGAGAATCGGTAGATAGGTCACAAAAGAATATAAAACATACAAGATGTGATATGTGGGGAAAACATTTATCGACATATCCTCCACTAACACTAATACACTTGTACCACAGCCTTACTGTTGCATCAAAACCCGCAGCATAGACTGCTGCCTCAGCCACTTCTGCACCAGATAGGGCATTACATGCGACTTTCGAACGTCCCTGAGAGAATTTATCGACCCAGTTGTGAACAGCTTTATGCGACAGACACTTCTTCCCACAAACAGAAAACATTTCTTCATGAATATCCTTTGCATTGCGTCCTTTTGCCCACAAAAAACGCGTGACAGAACGCTGCTCTTCGGTAGTATACACTCAAGCATGGTCGCCGCTTTGCCCACTGAAACCAGCCTCTGAACATATGCATGCTCGTCTCTCTATCTAGACTGTCATGAAGCTGGACTGTGCTGCTACCTAGCGATACATATAGAAAACTCATTACGTCCATTAAAGGTGTTTTACTTCCATTTGTGACCTATTTGCTGATTCCCCTTCATACTTCAACTAGGGCTGTTTGAATGGCTGCATCAGGACTGCATGGTCCTCCTTCCATTCCACAAAGTAAGCGCTAAAGCTACCTCCTTGTATTTTTTCACCTTGTTTCACATGATACCTAATAAAAACATAAGGAATATATGGAATTTTTATGACACCATGACTGTGTACAATAACATGATCTAGTATACATACATTAAACAATGGCGATGGGCAACATTTATTTTAAATAAAGGTTTAAAAGTTACTGGTCCAATTCATACTCATGTTCTTCATAAACCTGATCTCTCCAGAACAGGCATCTGTTATCAGTATATCTGGAAAAAAATATTTTTTTTCTGCGGTCTGCTAGGGGTAGGATGGTAAAATGTGGCCCCTCAGTGTATACATATGCACACAGCGTGCATATGGCAAACACAAATGCTCTATGCTTTCTTCTATCATGCTGCATACACACCAATGGAACGAATATAATGCAGGCAAGTTACAGCATGGCACTATAACAGACCTTTTTATTCTACATGAGTGTTCTATTTAAATGGATGGTATTTTTAGCTCCTGACTTATCTCAAAACAGTACGACGGCATGAGCAGCTACAAACGAGAAGATCTGGTATGGCTGTCAACTACATCCAACTGTGAAGGCAATGTGGTTCAATGTGTTTGGTTCCTTGCCAGAATTTCTGCTGTAATCGGGACATAAAGGAGATGGTGCATACTGACTAAACTTGCAAAAAGAATGACAGTCGCAGTGTGCTGACACTTCAATCTGCCCCCTAGTTCCATTCAGAGACATACACGATTCTATTCACTTGGTACAGTGGCCCATCGAAACCTACATAATACACAAAAACAGAACCCACATCAGTACCTCGTACAGGATTCGAACTAGCGATTCCAGGGCTGAAGCGACTGAAAACCACATTTGACTGTCTTGGTGGTAATGTATGTGGTATTGTATTGTATTGTATTGGAGAGGGTGGGTTTCCCCATGCACTTAGACCACCTGTTGGTCCATTGTGCGTCCCCCTATGATATTCTACCAGTCTCTATTCCCTACCGGTACTGGTGCGTACCATCAGTCCCAACTCAGCCAGCGAGTTCGGCCTCTACTGGCTCAGCGGTATCTCGATGCTTCCCCCATCTACCAGAGGCGTTAGAGACTACTGTTGGGTGGGAAATGTCCTGAATTTGGCTCAGTGGTCCCCTTGGGACATGAGGTCCTTTTACGTGCCGTAAAGCTACGACACGGGACCCACGGCTTAAAGTCCCTCCCGGAGGACTTGTTCCCTGAATTTTTCCGCCCTTAAAAATTCCACGACCTCCGCCAGGTTTGAACCCGCGTACCTTGAGTCACGAGGTGGGAACGTTACCCCTAGACACTCTCATTCCTTGTACTGAATAGCTAAATAGGCTTAGCAGCCTATGAAACACGCCTATACCATTTACTGCGAGATAAACTTAGGAGCAGCAAACCTGCTCGAGAAAGCAATGGACCCTAACAAGACGAAATGCGAGACTGAACAGTATTAACGATCATATGCATATGCTACATCTAGTATGTACGCAGCAACTAAGTCAATAATTTTTGGACTAGACATGAATGGAAATAGCAATAAAATAAGCTATACCTCCGCAAGGAAACCGCGCAGGAAGAACACACATCAGCGCTCACAGCGCAGATGAGTTGACATTAGGGAAATGGGTAGTAATGGAAACGTAAGTAGCTCCTACATACAGACAGGCGTCTGTGGCGAGTGGGCGAAATTCCGTGTTACAGCGGATTCCTTTGGAAAGACCACTTAAAAGAGATCGAATCGTCCGCAACAGAACAAAGCTGTCACTGCGGC